CCTCCTCCTCCCCATTGCCACCTCCTCCTCCTCCCCATCACCTCCTCCTCCCCCATCACCTCCTCCTCCCCATCACCTCCTCCTCCCTCATCACCTCCTCCTCCCTCATCACCTCCTCCTCCCCCCCACCTCCTCCTCCCCCATCACCTCCTTCTCCTTTTCACTCTTATTTATTTTTAATTATATGCACCTGTGTGTCGGTGTGTGAACATGTGCACATGAGTGAAGATGCCCCTGGAGGCCAGAGGCTTCGGATCCCCTGGACCTGGAGTTACAGGCAGTTGTGAGCCACCTGCTGTGAGGGCTGGGAACCAGCTTGAGTCCTCTGCAAGAACAGTGCCTGCTCTTAGCCACTGTACCACCTCTCCAGACTTCCATCAGTTTCTCTTTTGCATCCTTGGAGCTTCGTTGAGCATTTTGGTCTTAAGAGGTACATTATAGGGGGCCAAAAGGTGAACACCAAGTCCTCTTGTTGTCTTTTATCTTGTAGACTGCACCATGGAGAGTATGGTGGCAGTCCTGGTCTGACTGCATCCTGACAAAGGTATTGGGTTTGTGTGTGGAGGGTATCCACAGTCTGCCCTATGTCACCTGCTAGGCTCTCCACACCATCCTCCAGGGTCTTCTTGTTCTGACTCAGGCCAAGAACACTGCTCGTGTTTCTTTCCTCTGGTGCAGATGGCTTGCGCAATTGTTTCACTGGACACTTTGGTGGCGGCACATCAGAGACAGCCACCTGAGTGGCGGTGTTTCTGGAAGTGAAAGAAAGACAAAGAACAGCAGAAGAACTGAGCTTTTGCAGCTGCTGCTGGGGTTGGGCTGTTTGGTTTGGGGGTTTGTTGGTTAGTTGGTTGGTTGGTTTTGAGACAAGGTCTCATGTAACTCAGTGTAGCATCAAACTAGCTGTGTAGCTGAGATGGCCCTGGATTTCTAATTCTTCTGTCTCCACCTCCCCAGTGCTTGGATTGTAAGAGTGGCCACCATGCCTGGTTCATGTGGTGCTAGAGATCGTCTGAACCCCAAGCTTTGTATATGCTTGATGGCATATACACCAAGGCTTGTGAGTGTGTGATGAAAAGCACACCATCAACTGGACTCCACCCCCAGCCCTAAGCAATGCTAGATGGAATGTCTAGCTAGGTAGACAATGGCAGGCAGATAGATAAGGCAGGCAGATAGATAATTAAGAATGTATTGACTCTGCCTTTCTTGTTGCAAATATTGCTTCCAATATGCTGCCAATATTGTTTTGTTTGTTTGTTTGGAGACAGAGTCTCACTGTGTTGCTTAGGCTGACATTAAACTCAAGATCCTCCCGCCTCTGCCTCCCAGGAGCTGGAATTTATAGTCTTGCTTGTCTCCATGTTACTGTTTTTATCCCTCATAAATTCTTACACTTTTGGAAGTGAGTTTTCTAGAAATTTCAACTATATTTATATAGTTAAGTCCATCTGTTGTTGCCTTGTGACTTTTTCTGCCAGTCCCAAGCTCGTATGTCCATTCTAACTCCAGAGGTTAAGTTGGCTCTCTCTTCCCAGGAAAGGCTACTGTTGATGGATAGGTCCAACTGGATCTGATTTTCCTTCTGTCATTTCCCACCTGTGTGACTAGGAATGTTTCTTCACTCTGAGTTCTGCGTTCCTGGCTAGTGAAGGAGTTGGACCAATTTGTCTATGCATCAGGGGCTCCAGGAAAGATGCACTTTCTTGCCTGCTCCATCAGATCCCAAGAATCCAGATCCCCCAACCTAGGAACATAGTGTAGTCGGCGTCCCATGCCCTCCCACCCCCACCCCAAGCTTCTGCTAGACCTCCTTTAGAGTCACAGGAAGCCAAGATCTTCAATGGCTTCCTGCCCAGGCTGGGAGTAGTCAGTGAGTGAGAGTAGCCAGCAACCTTGACTGCTGGGCTCTAGGAGCCGGTAGTCCTGTCTCTTCCTCTTTGTTGGAGCCCCTACTTAGAATCCAGGCTGAGAAGCACCCCTGATCCACTCACTGCCTCTCTTTGGCAATCCCGGGGACTCCCACAGCCACACTCCTGGACTGGAGTTCAGTTATTTAGCAGCTGGGTCCCCTTAGCGAAGCCACTCATCCTGTGAGTACTCACTGATGGAAGCAGAGATGGGACCTGCCTACAGAGCTGTTGCAAGGGGGTGACAATGACGGATGCATGGGTGGAAAGAGCCTAGAGCTGTGCCTTGTGTAAATGGGAGTGGCTCGTGTGTGGAGGACATCATTGCCAAGTGTTTTCATTGCCATTTACAGCTGTAGGGGAGAAAAAGACTGTCCTGGGGTCTGGGGGCTGGGTCTGAGAATTCAACTGACACAAGGCAGAGTAATAGGAGAAGGCACACAAAGTAACAGCAGCTCAGTGTAGAACAGGACAATGCATAAGAACCCCAAGGCAGCCAGGCAGCGGTGGCACACGCTTTTAATCCCAGCACTCGGGAGGCAGAGGCAAGCAGATCTCTGTGAGTTCGAGACTAGCCTAGTCTACAAGAGCTAGTTTGGGGACAGCCTCCAAAACCACAGAGAAACCCTGTATCGAAAAAACAACAACAAAAAAAAAAACAAACAAAAAAAGAACCCAAAGGCCTAAAGATGCAGAATTGAATGGAACAAAAGCAGTACGTTAGGAAAATGTGATATGGCCTTCTAAAGGACGTGGGCTGGAAGAGTGAACTGGGTGGGGAAGTAACCAGGAATGTAAGGGTGAGCTGGTGAGCTGGGGGAGGTTTGTACAGGTTTCCTTGGGCCTCACACCCCCATCCTAGAGGATGAGAATGACATTGTTCTTCTGGGACAGAGGGGGCATTTTTCAAATAAGATTATCCTTCAAAGGAAGGTCTCACTGTGTAGCCTTGAATGATCAATTCTCCTTCATCAGTCTCTAGAGTGCTGGGATTACAGGTGTGTGGCACTATGCCTGGCTCACACAGGAATTTCATCTACTGTTTTTTTCTTTTCTTCCTAGGTCTGAGGATGAGCCTCAGGTCTCCTGCATGCTAGACAAGCAGTCTACCCCTGAGCTATCTCCCCTAATCCCTCACCTGCTACTTTTAAGGGCAAGAAGGTTGCACACCTTTAATCCCAGCATTTGGGAAGCAGTGGCAGGAGGATCTCTGTGAGCTCAAAGCGAGTTCCAGGACATCCAAACGACATCCAAACGGTTACACAGAGAAACCCTGTGTCACCCCACTCCTCTCTCTCTCCCCAAATTAAAGATAACAAGGAAGGTCAAATTGATCTTCTTCGCCTGCTGTTTTTCAAAGGCCTTTAAATGAAACCAGTCTACTACCAGAGTAGTAGATTTGGGGGCCGCATGTCAATAATTGGCTCACTGTTCTTGGCCATGCCGGCCTTAGGGAATGCAGATCTACAGCTGGAATTCCTGGCGTCTGATGACACACAGATCTGTCATTTCCCTGTCACCAGGAACCCAGGGCTCCTGGAAAATTTTTCTTCCTGGCCCAGTGGAGAACTTGTTGTCTCTTGGGTAGCTGAGAGGGCGTGTGCCACCAGGTGACTGGCAGCCTCCAGGCACAGGGCACCTGCCTGTGAGACTCCTCACGTGAAGGCTGTGTTCTTCCCTTCTCCCAACAGGTCTGACAGGAACAGCCTCATTTCTCTGGTGGCAGATCAATCTAGAAAGGGACCAATCCTGCCCCTGCCTCTCAGCCCTGATACCTGAAGTGCCCCTGGCCATACTTTTCCTTTACCCGACTTCTGGATTT